TTTTGTTTTGTTGAGAGAGATTGTCTCTACATGGGGAGACAGTTCCTTGAGTGAGTGAGTTTGTTGTTTCTTTCTAATTCTTCATATTAGAGTGCGGAGGAGTGTTTAAAGGGTGAGGGGCCTGTGAACTTGCAGACAATGGATGTTGAGAATTAGAAAGGTATTACTAGGTGAGTTAGGAAGGCAGTTTCAGGAGGTGTTTTTTTTTTCTGATAAATAAGGCAGTTTCAGGAGGTGTTGGGGTTTCAGTGTTGCATATATATATATACATTGTAACAACACAAGGAAAGAAGACACCTGTAAATTGAGAAAGTAAAGAAATTGAAAACCCATTAAAATCGATGAACAATACAAAAGTACAATTTTTATCAAAAATGGAATAGAGAGATCTTTTTAGGCTATACACAAAAAAAAAAAAGAGCCTAAAAAGATCTCTCTATTCCATTTATTTTGATAGAAATTGTACTTTTGTATTGTTCATCGATTTTAATGGGTTTTCAATTTCTTTACTTTCTCAATTTACTGGTGTCTTCTTTCCTTGTGTTGTTACAATGTATATATATATATATATGCAACATTGAAACCCTAACACCTCCTGAAACTGCCTTATTTATCAAAAAAAAAAACACCTCCTGAAACTGCCTTCCTAACTCACCTAGTAATACCTTTCTAATTCTCAACATCCATTGTCTGCAAGTTCACAGGCCCCTCACCCTTTAAACACTCCTCCGCTCTAATATGAAGAATTAGAAAGAAACTCAACAAACTCACTTACTCAAGGAACGTGTCTCCAATGTAGAGACATCATAATTAACTTAACCCAAACACTCCTCAGCCGCATGCTTCAACTTGGATGAAATATATTGCTTGGAAAAGAATGGATCCACCAATACAACTGTACGGGAAAGAAATACGCCTTCTCGTATAATCCTGTTGACCAAGTCCACGCTCCTCCGTACGACGTCGCTTTGTCACCTGAAAACACAAACGTGAGCTAGCCGGCGGGTGTGTGCCGGAAACCTCTCCGATGCCTAAGTCAGAAAACTTGACAAATAGACAAGGCTCTAAGTTTTCAGAAAGATTGTGTTCAATTACCTCCTCCAAGGTGTTGCTTGTGAGCTTTTATAAGTTTCGTATGGCACAATCCTAGTAGGACTTGTAGATTGGTAACTAATGCAGCATGATTTAACTTGTGATGTTTAAAGGAATTTATGCAATTTCTACACCTTGGCTGTAACAAGAATGTTTGGCAACAAACAATGATTCACAAAAAGCAACAATACATCCATCACAAAAAGGAGAGAGGAGAGAGAGGACAACAATATATATATATATAAATTCGTCAGAATAACTATGATGCTAGGATAATTACCAAGGGCATGTGCGGTGATAATGCTTGGCAGATTTTGCAGAAATATTCCCCCTCTAGAACATCTGATCACCAAAAAGTTCAAGAAACAGATGATTAAGAACAATAAGTACTTTGTAAATAGCAAGCATGAAGCTTGAATTATATACTGCAAGCAATAGTCCCAATAACACAAAGATGCTCAAAATGGAAATGAAACAACATTAAAATGGTTTATAATATTTACTCAAAACATAACAACCTAAACAAAGTGTCAGCTAGCTTGGTAAGTAAAGTCTCTTGAAGGTGGCACCGTAAACCTAGGATAGAATCTCATCTTTGTACATAGACCTCAACATGCTCAAGTAATTAAATATTAAAAATTTATTAACATTTATATAAGTTTCTGTTTTGTTTCCAAACATTTCCATATATTTTCCAATTCTTTTGTCATTTCACTGATGTTCTTGAAATGTTTCTGTTCCGAAATGTTTCAAAAAAAAATTGTTTCCAAGCTAACCAAAACAAAATACCAAAATGAATTTTTTATCCTTGGTTCCTATCCTGCCTACCATAATGATCCACCTTCCAAGTAACACTGAAACAAACAGAGAGACTACATTATAGTGAATAGCAAACAAGGGGGAAATCAAGAACTAATAAACAAAAGGATTTGTACTGCTAAACAGATGCATGTGCCTAACACCATTACAAGTTGAGAAACCATTGAAAAGTGAGGGAATCTAAAACTCCATAATTAGATGTCACACCAAATCATTTCCTTGTAATAAAATCATAATCAATATCAAGTATGCTCGCCATATTTAGGGGAAAAATTATACCATGAAAGGAAGGAAGCTCAACTACTCTGTTATTCATATGCACAGCAATTCCTTGTAAAACGCGAAACATCCCAACTCTTGACATCATTGTCGTTCCTTGGCCAATATATAATCCACTTCGTTCAGAAAAATAAGGATCTGCAACAACAATAACATAAGTCAACCATAACATTTCAAGAAATATTTGCATAAATACGAACAGAAGATAGGAATAAATTCAACTGTTATGCATGAAGCAAAACAGATATAAATGCATGAAACTACCACCACTACACATCCATCCCAAATATAAATGCAGTAAACTTCTTTCCTAGACAATAGTTTTGAATTTTTTTGTCGAACAGTGGCCTTGCCTACAATAAATCCTTTTGCATGAGAAAGAATTATTATATTCAATGAAACACACAAGCCCCCGCGCAAAGTCTTCCCCTCTTCATGAATCTGTATAATGAAAACTGTGTTCAATCCTCAAATCCCTAAACCTATTATTATATGCTTTCATCTCAATATAAAATATGTCAGTCAAGTACAGTGAAAAAATAGCACAAAGAAATTAGGACCTTCATGAAGTGAAGTCGCAACAAGAGTAATTGAAAGAAGACAAAAAGACAGTGGATAACTAGAGAATTGAAAAATAAGATGAAACATAGCTGAAAAAGCAAAAAAAAAGAAAAAGATGAAACACAAAGTGAAGAAGATGAACATATGACACTGAAGAAGATGGAAACACAACAATGATGAGTAAGTCTTTAAAGAAAATGAAAAAAAAAAAAAAAAAGTTAGAAGATGGTACAGCAATGAAGAAAATGAAAAAGAGGATGGAACCATTCCGATAATCTACCAAGATGCAACAACCTTGTTCCTTTCTAATCTCAAGTTTCTGTCTCCTCCATTCTCTTGTCAAATTATAACCAAAACTTGCTTGTATGCAGCAATAAATGCATTCTCAGTCCTAAGATTTTAACATTGCTAGGTGCCCTCCAAGCATGCGAATGTGGCCATGTGGATTTGAGCTTAAGGTTGGCCACTTCATAAAAATAATGTAGAAGGCATGGTCTGCACCCAATACACCCCTCCTGTCACCTTAGATTGGCAGCGCCAACATGAGGCAGCAGCTTTTTTTCTTCTTTCTCTTTCTAGTTTATCTATTTGCAGTATTGCAAGGTTTACTAAAAGCTTATTGATCAACTGTGTAGAAAAGCAGAAAATTGTTCCGTATAAAGAAGAGTCAACTTTTTTCCAAATACTAAAGAAAAATTATGATTGTACAAAAGGCTTCAAGAGAGTAATAAATAAATAAAATTATGGGAAGCAAATTTCTGGCAGCTATAGTTTGCTTTATGATCTCATGCTGCCCCCAAAAACAAAGAGCATATAATATATTTATCACAACCTCCATTTTTAAGGACAGTGCACTGACATCTAATGTAAATAACCCAATGAATTTCACCAACTGTTACTTCGATGGTCATTTTCATGGTTAAAGTTTCAGATCCCAACAATCAAGGTCCAAAGAACAAACAATTAAACAATTCACGCTGAAGGTCATTTAGTGTACTCGGTAAATAACTGCAGAAACTGACTTGCCTGTCTGCAATCCCTGTAGAATAGTTCCACGTGTCATACCAACGCCCCATCCACCATCCTATCCAAGCTGCTCCACATCAACTGATACTGCAACTGCATCCCCTTTCTCAACGTGAGCACTACAAGCCAATACACCAGGAACATATATACCTACACATGAACTATCATCAGAAAATAGAAGAAAGAGTACCAAGTCATCACAACTTGTCAAGTTCGTGTTTTGTGTGTGGGGGGGGGGTGTTTGTTGATGTTGATGTTGAGAATACACAATATTGTTTTATTGCCTCAAGACAAAATTAAGTACCGCAATCCCCACAAACCTAAAAAATATATACATAAACTTATACAAGAAATAAACAAAAGAAATAATAAATAATTATAGGAAATACTAGTGGTAAAATATGAAACTGAATGATTTTTTCATCTGTAAGAGTGAGAAATATACACAATATTGTTGTATTGCCTCAGTACGAATACTTATGGAAGAAATAAACAAAGGAAATAATAAATAATTACAGGTAATACTAGTGGTCAAATATGAAACTGAATGACTTTCTCATCTGTAAGAGTGAGCTACACAAAATAATCGTATCACTTTACACTGAAACCTCAACTTCTTTCCTAGTCCACTAGCCCACATACTTCTAGCAAATGGATTACAAGATTAAAAGATTGAAGACTATAAATATTAAAAATAAAGAACATCATCAAAAAAAATAAAATGTTAGGATGTTTATAACACAAACTAGAACATTCAAAAGTACTTGACAAAGAGACTTGAAGTAACAGATATAGTTGATATGTAGGCACTACTAGACACTTCTTACCTGAGCACCGCGAAGTACAGCCTCAGCGCATTTACAGCTAACAATTATTTCCTTTAGAGGTTTGTCTTGTGCATGAGCATAACTGATATTGTGTGGTCCTGAACCTTTGACAAACAAAACAATAGTCTAGCCTAGGTAATTGACATTTTGAAACAAAACTAGTTTGTGTACTTTCAGAGACAGCCAAAGCTGCCTGGTTAGAATCACATGGGGAAGTATTAGATTCTTTAACAAAAAATTTATGCTCCTGGCCCATAATATATCCAGCATTGGCATCACTTTGGTTCATGTCATCAATAGCGCTTTGTTGCCCCGTTTCCTGCAGACTTTCCGATGACTTTTCAATAACAGCATCACTTGTTGACTTGAGTGTATTCACACGAATACATGAGTAACAAGATGGACGCCTGAGCAATACATGTATGCACAAAAGGGTGAAGAAACATTTTAAATATGTATATACGAATATACAACTACTGAAAAAGGATAAATTTTGTTAAATTATATATCCAAAAATTCATCATGTTCAAATATCAGAAAACAAATAGGAAAGAAATTACGATTATAATGACTAAAGTTGCCTGTAAAAGAAAAGGAAAATAGCATGACTATTAAGCATTTAACAGGTACAAAAGGTTACAACATGGGTCTAAACATGGAAGAACTTAATGATATAAAAGAGAAATATTTACATCAACACAATCTCTAAGTCTCAGCATGTTTTAGCAACACTTGATGTTTGTGCTGCCCAAGGGGTGATCGATATGCTTAATCATATAGTAGATATTTAGTAACTAAAAAAAAGTGTAATATATTTGTTGAGCTAGAGTACAGGTACGAACTGTTAGAGCATCTCCAGCAAGGATAGTTAAAATAGCTATTCAAAATTTTACTTTACTATTTTAGCTAGTCATTTTTTTAATATACACGCCAACAAGGCTATCTACTTTAGCTATCTTCTATTAAAATATTCTTATACTTTAACTACCTTCTTTCCAATCTAAAAAAAAACTAACTTCTTTCAAATTATTATTTTTTTCATTCTTCTAAATATAATTATATTTTTGTGAAAGTTACATTTTTTTACTATCATATTTTTCAAATGGTCATATTTTTTCAACAGTCATATTTTTGTAACGGTCATATTTTTTCAAATTTTTACAACGGTCATATTTTCACAACGGTCATATTTTTTCAAATTTTTACAACAGTCATATTTTTACAACGGTCATATTTTTATACTTTTCCATTATAAATAAGACATTCCCTATCATTTGATCTTACCCTCAACTCAATTTTCTACTTCATCCAAACTTCCATATCTCTCTCTATGGCTTCTAATTCTCTTTATGATATGTTTGTAAATGACTCTGACTTCTCTGAATCTGATGATGATTTGGAGATACTCAAAGCTGTTACTATGGATGAAGAACTACTAGATAGTGAGATAGGATCAAGCTCACGTCGTGGTTTTGTTCGAGGTCGTAAAGTCATTCATCGTGATCATATTCAAGGTCGTGAAAGGCTTTTTCTCGACTTATTTGCTGAATCGCCTGTATATCCTCCTGAGTTATTTCAAAGGAGGTTTCGGATGAAGCGTTCACTTTTTCTTCGAATTCAAGCTGCAGTAGAAGCGCACGATCCATAATTTCTCCAAAAAAGAAATTGTGCTGGAAAGCTTGGTTTGTCTTCTCTTCAGAAAATAACTGTTGCACTTAGGATGCTTGCTTATGGAGTAGCCGCTGATTTTATGGGCGAATATGTGAGAATTGGAGAAAGCACTGCAATAGAACCTCAGGGGGCAATTTGTTATAGAAATATAAACCTCAGGGGTGGCATGTAATTTCTCAAATCTCAGGGAGGAATCTGTATTTTCACCAAACCTTGAGGAGGGGTGTTTGTAATTTGCCCTTGATGTTTTAGTAGATTGATTTGAACTATACCTTAAACAGGGCTGATTTTGAAAATATGTTAGAGAATGAGATGAGAACTCTTGAAAGCACCACCCTAATTATGTGAATGAGGTGGAAATTTTACATTCATGATAAATTTATTAGGAAATAAAAGATTTTAAATTTATTAGTTATTTATTTCAGTTTTCTTTATATATTTTGTTCCTCTTTCCATGTGAAGTTTTAAATTAGAGTGATATTCACTTTGCTTGTTTTTTGTTTTCCAAAAATACTTTTCAAAAATTCTACTTTCTTATTTTCTGTGTTTTTTTATTTTTGTTTTTACTGAATTTGTTTAATATTTTAAGCATTTTTTTAAAAAATTTTAGACACACCTAACATAAATACACATAAAAAGTATAATTTTTGTGAAAAAAATCTTTTAAAAATTCACTAAATACCAAAAATATAAAATACAAAAAAATACTAGAATTCAGTATATTTTTTTTTTGTATTTTTATGCATTTATTAATTTTTTAAAATATTTTTTCATAAATTTTTTACTTTTTAGATACATCTAAGAGCATCTCCAGCAAGGCTAGTTAAAATAGCTATTCAAAATTTCACTTTACTATTTTAGCTAGTCATTTTTTTAATATACACTCCAACAAGGCTATCTACTTTAGCTATCTTCTATTAAAATATTCTTATACTTTAACTACCTTCTTTCCAATCTAAAAAAAAAAAAACTAACTTCTTTCAAATTATTATTTTTTTCATTCTTCTAAATATAATTATATTTTTGTGAAAGTTACATTTTTCTACTATCGTATTTTTCAAATGGTCATATTTTTTCAACGGTCATATTTTTGTAACGGTCATATTTTTACAACGGTCATATTTTTCCAACGGTCATATTTTGCAACGGTCATATTTTTATACTTTTCTATTATAAATAAGACATTCCCTATCATTTGATCTTATCCTCAACTCAATTTTCTACTTCATCCAAACTTCCATATCTCTCTCTATGGCTTCCAATTCTCTTTATGATATGCTTGTAAATGACTCTGACTTCTCCGAATCTGATGATGATTTGGAGATGCTCAAAGCTATTACTATGGATAAAGAACTACTAGATAGTGAAATAGGATCAAGCTCACGTCGTGGTTCTGTTCGAGGTCGTAAAGTCATTCATCGTGATCATATTCAAGGTCATGAAAGGCTTTTTCTCGACTATTTTGTTGAATCGCCTGTATATCCTCCTGAGTTATTTCGAAGGAGGTTTCGGATGAAGCGTTCACTTTTTCTTCGAATTCAAGCTGCAGTAGAAGCGCACAATCCATACTTTCTCCAAAAAAGAAATTGTGCTGGAAAGCTTGGTTTGTCTTCTCTTCAGAAGATAACTGTTGCACTTAGGATGCTTGCTTATGGAGTAGCCGCTGATTTTATGGATGAATATGTGAGAATTGGAGAAAGCACTGCAATAAAAAGCTTAAAATATTTTGTTAAAGCAGTTGTTGATATTTTTTCTAATGAGTATTTGAGGCCACCAAATAGCAATGACATCGCTAAACTACTAGTGATTGGTGAAAGTCGTGGATTTCCTGGAATGTTGGGGAGCAGTGATTGTATGCATTAGAAATGGAAAAATTGTCCGACTGCATTGAAAGGTATGTATAAAGGTCACATTCATGAACCAACAATTATTTTGGAAGCGGTTGCATCATATGATCTTTGGATTTGGCATGCGTTTTTTGGATTACTTGGGTCTCATAATGATATCAACGTCCTAGAAAGGTCTTTTGTATTTACCGAACTTGCTCAAGGGCGTGCTCCTGCAGTCAATTACACCATCAATGGTAATGAATATACAATGGGATACTATCTCGCCGATGGTATATATCCACAATGGTCAACATTTGTGAAAACAATTCCTTCTCCTCAATGGTAATGAATATACAATGGGATACTATCTCGCCGATGGTATATATCCACAATGGTCAACATTTGTGAAAACAATTCCTTCTCTTCAAGGAAATAAGAAAAAACTTTTTGCTGCAGTTCAAGAGGCGACAAGAAAAGATGTAGAACGTGCATTTGGAGTGCTTCAAGCACGATTTGCAATTGCGCGTCGACCGGCACGTTTTTGTAATACTAAAATGCTTAAATGTATTATGAAGGCGTGCATAATTCTACATTATATGATCATTGAGGATGAGCGGGACGACAATGAAATAAAAGACTTCAATTATGATCAAATCGATGATAGTCCCCATGTAACAGTGTTATAGGAGAGAATTACTGAACTTATGAAATTCATTCAATGTCATCATAACATTAGAGATAGGCAAACACATTCTCATCTCCAATCGGACCTTGTCGAACACTTGTGGCAATTACACAGCGAGTTGTAAAAGCTTTGAATTTGAAGTTTCATTTTATGTAGTGTGCTATTAGTTTTGAATGTAATCAGTATATGCTTTTAATTTATGTGTAATTTTATAATTCTATATGCCTTTTAATTATATGGTTATCATGGTAGCCTATTAAGGGAGAGTTGTACTTTAAAAAAAAAAAAAACCCTAAGCTCTTAAAAATTTTATCTTAAAAAAAATTATTGAATGATTGAGATTCATTATTATATAACATTAAATCTAAATCACATATCAATATTTATAGTAAAATTCTGATTTCTTAGAATTTTAAAATATTAAAATATTTTTTTCTGATTTCCTAGAGATTCTGAATAAAAAAGAAAAAAGTGAGGCAGGAGATTATATATACAATTAAAAAAAAGTAATTCGTTAAAACTTACGTACACTAATACTATATTATTTTTTTATAAAGAAAAATTTATGAGAGATAATAGAACTTTTGAAAATTTAAAACCTCATTAGTAAAACTTGGTACTCAAAAAAATTGAAGGCAAGTTGAAGTTGATGAGCTGAAGATGTATTATCTGATAAGTTCCTTTGAAACTTTCTCAAGAACATATGTAATGGTTTGGAGATCCAAGCAGCATGACTATAAGAAAGGATAGATTTATGCAATTTCATTCTGTTGCATAGATTTAGTACCATGGCATGTAAACCAAAAAAAATAAAATAACAACCATCAACTTGCATTGGCATCCTAAAACTATAAATCTTTTACATATATACATCAATCCATTTCATTATGATTCTGCCCAACCACCAAACTACACCTCCAGCTTAAGCACATCACTCCTCCCCAATATCATCTTTGATGATCATTCATCAATGCTTAAAGCTAAACCACAATTAATCAATTAGTACTAGCTTTTGCCCCGTCTCAACCACAACCTATTTTTGGATTCAAAATCTAAGAACAAGTAAATATTAGTACTTACATTAAACAGCAGCAAAACAGCCCAAAAATGCCATCAAAACAACCCAAAAACACCAACAAAATAGCAACAAAAACAGATTAGAAAATAGGCCAAAAATGGCAGCAACACAGCACAAAGAGCAGCAGAACAACACAGCACAAAAAGCATCAGATTAGACATCTAACATTGTGTACCAAAACATTGCTGAGTTCAACATCTATCCTAGACAAAAGCAGAACCAAAAGCAAAAGCCAAAATATCATATACCAAGTTTCTAGCCTACTAGACAAAAGCCAAAATATTATATAGAGCAAAGAAAGAATGAATACTAATTCATTCTTCTTTTCTTAATGATTTCCATCTGCCGAGCACGATAAAATTCTTGTTGGATTTCCGGCAAGCCACTGAGATCCATCAACAATAACTCTTTCGTCCTCTTTGAAAAGTTTCATTTCATGCTTTTCAAGTTCCACCTCATGCTTTTCTTGCATGATATGAAGTTCCACTTCTTTTTGAGTGTACACTTTGTCAATCATTTCAATTTTCTTGTCAATCATTTTCTTTTTGTCTTGCTTGATGTCCTTCAAAGTTTTTGTAATACTCGAATGTATGCTTTCTTTGTTCTTTCGTTTATTCAATCGTTCCTTTTCAACCTTCCTACCGGTTGGTCTCTGCAAGTCTACAAAATCATTAGGTGAGACATCGTCTTCCCCTAGATTTATCGAATCCGGAGTACAAGGAGAAGAGGTTGTCCCTGTTCTTGGTCTTTTGGTTGTTTTTTCTTCTCAAACTCTACCACCCATTTTGGTTGATCCCTTAACATAATCCAACAGTGTTCGAATTGGAATGTAGATTTCTTGAGTTCCTTGTACATAATTTTTGCCTTGCAAATCTGAAAAATTGAATAAATAAATAATATTTAGCAGCTTCACAAATAATAATAATTGTAGATGTACAATATTCAATACCTTGTCATCCTCATTTATGCCACTTTGATGCAATGATTCAATTTGGGCATAACACCCACAAAACTTATTCATGGCAAGCTGAATGGTTGACCATCGATTCATAAGAGAATTTTCATTTCGATTAGACTCAAATTTCTTGTGCTTATGGAAAAAATCCCATACTTTTTTCCAATAGGTAGAGCGTTTTTGCTCATTCCCATGTACCGCATCTAAACTAATATTAAGCCAAGCCGATACAAGGAGTTTGTCTTCTGCTATTGTGAAGTTTCCTCCACGTTGTGGTTTCTTTGACGAAGATTCAATTTCAGCAGTAAATTGAGACTCTTGGGCAAATACTTGAGTATTTTGATTCAAATATTGAGATTCCATCAGATAATGTTCATCAATGTTGGGCCTTTCTTGTAAAAGATTGGTAAAGTAACCATGTTGTTGTGAATCCATACCTATGATTGAATAATGAATAAGAATTAAGAAAGCAATGTAGAGCAAAGAAGAATTTATTTATTTATTTATGTTTCCATCGAATTGACCAAAAACCTATCAGCACACCAAAACACAATGAAACATGCTAAGTCATTACAAGTTACAACATGTGCTAGGAGTATCAAACAAAAGTTATCTCTATTTCCCATTTTATTTATAAATAGATTGAGGGAAAAAAAAAATCTTAAACTTAACAAAAATTCTGATAAAGTAGAAATGATAAGAAAACGTGTCATCACTAATCCTGTGGCTAATCACCACCTCTGTTTGAAGTTTCATCTCCATTTCTATTTTGTACCCTGTTTTCATTATCTAACAGTCTTTCCTAAGGTGGTAGTACTAATTTGGTAATTGCTTGCTTTTGGGTTTTGCCTAAAGTTTGTGGCTAAGAGTTGGTGATGATGATGCTAATGGAAATATAGAAATTAGAAATTGTTTTTTGTTATTATTATTATTATTATTATTATTATTATTATTATTATTATTATTATTATTATTAACCATGTGTTATTTAAGAGTGGGTTGCCTAAGCTAGTTAGAATTTTCCCCTTTTTTCTTTCTATGACCAATTGGACAATTTGATACTCTATATCATACTTGAGTTCTAGAGTTAAATCTAAAAAGAAGTAATCAAAGTGATCATACCCTCTATAAGGAAATTTTGTGATGAAATAAGCTGACAATTTTTTCAAATTTAAGTAATGGCATAAGCTGCAGTTCAGAAGAAATTGCAGCTGATACACTAGTTACTCTGGAAATCTTCATTCCTTCAGATGAGCCTTCTTTCATAACATGATGCTTTTTTCTTGACGGAGGATATTTTTTGGGATAGGTGCAGCTTAATTTGATTGCTATTTTTGTAATAATATACTCTGTGTATGCAGTGCACCTAGCGGGTCTTCAACATGTTGAAACAATTACTGTCTGGTACAACTTATTGCACTTACTGCAAGAAATACTCTTGTTATTGAGAACCCTATCATGAGAAAATAATCATTATGGTTAAAAAAACTTTTTGGGATTTTATGATGGTCTGGCACACTTGACATTGGATTGTTGCATGCGTAGTTTCTAATAATCTGTTGTTTTATGTTCTTTGCTTTTGGTGCTTCATCCAAGTTTATCATCATCAAATAATATAATCATAGAATGACCTCTTATGCATGAGACTTCTCAAATACATGTTAGTTTTGAAGTTCATGGTTTTGTAGTCCAAATTGTTGAACTATGAATTGGTCCTCTCAAAGGACTGTATTTTGCATGGATGTTCAAGGAATATACGAGAATGTTCCTTGAGATGTTCTCATCTTAATAAATTCGACCTAGTTCTTTGATTGCAAGAGGCAACATGTTATGATGCAGGTGAGACTAGTACTTTGTTCTACAATGACCACCAGTATTCTACAAGGATGCCCATGTTATAGATTTGTATAATGTCTTAATTCCATTGTGATTAGTGAAAAACTTGCTGCAAATATCTCGGTCTTTACCCCTCGCACATTTTTATTTTGATAGATGCTGTTTTGGCTTTAATGAATGATTAAAATGCAACACTGCACAATGACAATTAGTAAATGTGGGATTTCTGGAAGCAAATTTCTGTGTTCACTTAAATTTCCATACCTTTGTCTTGTTTGCACCAAACATAAGAGAATTTATGTTTAAAGTGTTCTGTCTATGGAATTTATGTCAACAGAAAGCATATGAAACAAACAAAAATGACAATCTATATGAAAGCATATGAAACAAACAAACAGAAAGCATAATTGGGTACAATTTACAATCTATATTCTAACAGAAATTACAACAAACATATGGTGTGCAATACAAATACATAGACAAATAAACAAAAATGACAAAATTTATTACCTCCCTTGAGCAAAAAGTTTGAGAAAAAGATAGAGAGGATAAGAGAGTTTGTGAGATTTGGAATGCTTTCTCTATGGATTTGTTGGGGAGGTACTGATACAACTTTTAGCGCCAAAATAAGGAAAAAATTTTACTGCCAAAAACAAAATTCAGGAGCCAAAAACAAATAAAAAATTAAAAGGTGCATGAACAGTACCTCGCTTGTCCTGGCGAGGTACTGTAGCTCACAACCATCTTAGCGATGCTTGAGCGAGTCTGCTGGAGCCATCTTTTACCCTTCCAAGCTAGCTATAGTAACAAAAATAGAGGAATAGAGAGGCTTCTGGAGATGCTCTTATAGCTCAAATCTCAAAATATTGACAAGTATAATAAAGTATACAACCCAAAACACCCAAAGGGTGGATTATTTTACCCAGCTTCAAAATGTCTAAGTGGGTAAACTATTATCAAAACCAATTCAATACTAAAAGATTTATTCAGACATCTAAACAATGTTTTTGAAATCTACAAACTAATTCCAGCTGAATTTCAAAAGTTACACCAAAGAGCAATATACTGATTCCGCATAACCCCAATTCCAAAAATTCCAAAAATTCAAAATCCAATTCCAATTCCAAGCACACCCTTTTATTGTTGGATCACAAAACCCATTACTTCAATTTGGCATTCGACGCTATCTTAATACAAATTTTGAACTAAAATAGCTCCAATTCCATTTCCAATTTTACAATTTAAACTTCAGCTTAGTAGTAAAATGCTTAAAGCTTAAGTAAAACAAAAATACAAAAAGCATCCCAAATCAATGTAGGTGTCACAGTTTAAAAACAGAACAAACTATGAGATGCGATGAGAGAAGGTTTGAGCATACGTTAGGGATTTGGAAATGCGAGCGAAATGGTCAGCTCCGTATGCTTTGATGAAGTATTCTTCGACCTGAGGGTTCCACCGCAAGCTTGGCTCGAAGCGGTAACGGTCCGATGCGTCCATCTGTGACTGTGAAACTTAGCAAAAATTGCATATACAGAAGAAGCTCACAGCTTATAGACACACACACATATATATATATATATATATACATACAGAGAGAGAGAGAGAGTACGAAGGGAGTAGTTGGGCGCTGCACGATGAGGAAGCTTCTGCAGAGGGTTTTGAGTAAGAAAAATGCTTGGGATCTATCTAATTAGAGGTACCACCAGTCATGTGGCAGTGGGTGCCACATCAGTGTTTTTTTTTTTTTTTTTTTTTTTTCATTTTTTTTTTTTTTTTTTTTTTTTTTTTTTTTTTTTTGGCCTTTTTCACCTCATTAGAGGTGTGTTTAGAGTCTCTAAATTAAAAGTCTCTATCATTGTTGTTTGAGTAAAGCTCTCTCTTTCTTCATTCAATGACAACAACACCACTTCTAATACATAATGGCAACAACACCACTTCTATTTACCCTACATAATGGTTTATTACAAATAAATAACAAATTATTTATCATTTTTTTTTACATCATTTTTGCTCATAATAATCTTATAGAAGTGCTTAATGCTATATTGAAGCTTGAATTTATATTTAAAAATAAAATATAACTGGAAATAAATTACATGGATTATTTTTTAATGTGTAACTAAACAAAATATATAATTTTGTTATTAATATCTAGCGAAAATGCATCATAAAATATAAATCTTGACTGACTCGTATTATGATTGTTTAGAAATATTGATCATAGAATTAGTAAATGTTGGAACATATGTGAAGGTAAGGTCCTATATCGGATAAAGAGTCAAAGAGATGAGTCTTAAGGGTAGTTTGAGATAATCTAAATAAGTGTATTTTTTGACTTTCTATGAAATATGGGTTGGGTTTGAGGTGATGTGGTAGGGAGGTGATGTGACTTAAATAAGATGGTGTGACTTAAACAGGATAGTGACTTTTTGACTTTTTAACTTTTTTAGGTTATGACAAACAAGGCCTTAATATACGTTAGATGATCTTTCTGCTTATAAGCTTGAGTTTTTAAGTGGGTATGAGTTATAAATAATGTATGTTGAGTGTTGATGTGGCGTTTATGAACTTTAGAGTTTCTCTCGGTTGGAACTGGTGCCAATGGCTAACAATTTATAGGTAAACTTTCCTCAAGCATCGACTCGATGTTGGAAATCCATTATCAAGATTAATTTTATGGATAGACGTTGGTGCCAATGGCTGACAATATATGGGTAGACTTTCCTCGAGCATCGACTCTTGATGTTGGAGATCCATAATCAAAATTAATGGGGAGTACGTAACATCTAAGATGAATTAGCAAATACTATATCAAGATCCAAGAGAAGTAAGGAAAAGCAATGGCACAGACTCAAGCTAAGGTCACAGCTTAAGCCTCAGCTCATAACAGAGTAACTCAAGTAGCATCAGTTGCAGTCTCAATTTCAAGCACGTGTGTTATTGAGCTGTTAGTTGGCCTCAAAATTGCCACATATTTTACAGATCACAATTGGACTGGTTGCATTGGTATTGTAGCCTGTTGTACCCCTCTAAAATTTAGTGTTATCCTTAAACTTTTAAGTAGATATGAGTTACAAATAATATATAAAAGAGATGGGTCTTAATTAGATTATAGACTTAATACAAATAATGTATGAAAGAGATGAGTCTTAATTAGATTATAGGCTTAAGTTTTTAAGTGGCTATGATTTACAAATAATGTATATTGGACCTTGATGTGGCGTTTGTAGGCTCTAGAGTTTTTCCTTATTGGATTGGGCCAATATTATTGTGCGCTTGTAGGCTCCCAAATTCCCTACCAATAAATTGATCATTGAACCGAATCATAATATATCTTGTTTATTATTATTTTTTAATTATTTGTATGTAAAAATAAGAAGAATAGAATACACTTGTAATCCTTGTAAAAATTTATGTGTCAAATTTGTTACTTTTGAAACGGCAGAATCGAATCGGAACAAGTTTTTTATCATTCGGTTATTATCAGATGGCCTATACGATTCAATTACAATTTCATTTTTTTATGAAACTATAAGAATCAATTTAATTCTTAATTTATTTCAATCAAATCAATTTAACCCATAAATATCTCTATAAATAGAATTAATAAACGTCCCTATGGCACTAATATTATAAATTATACCAAAAAATAAGAAGTCACTAAAAAAATCTAGATTATTAAGAGATTCTTTAATTTGTTCTAAATTTTTTCATTTAACTTTATTTTAAATTTGAATAAAAAAAATTGATATAAAGTACACATTATTTCATCAAATTTTTATTAAAATATTTTTAAAAATTTCCCTTTTTATCTCAAATTTTTTATTATCAAATTTGATATTAAAACAAAAAATCATCTTCAATACTTCATCTTTTAAAATTTGTATCAAATACAAATTTCATGAAGGATTTATTGAATTTTCAATTTGATTAAAAAAAAAAAATTCTTTACTAATCTGAGAAGCATTTGATAAACAAAAATAGTAGAGATCCAAAATGAATTATGAAATATTATACATAATACTCACATAAGCGTGATGTTCATATCACATGGATATACGTGGGTCCTATATAAGTAGAAAAATTCTACAATACACACTCTTTTAAGAATATGCATCTCTAATTATGTCATTTTATTATTTAACTATAATAATATTTTAATTATCACTCATGAGATATTTGATTGCACATCAAATGTTTGGTTATAATTTTTTTTTTCTTTAGTCATGACTCAAAAAGTATGAGATGATACTATTTTTTTAAAAAAAAATTATAAAGTATATATAATATATATTTTTCTCATATAAGTATTGCGTAAAATATTTAATAATTTATTTGGGATTTTTTCTAGAGAAAATTGATGATAAATCAAATTTAGAGGGTGTTTAAGGCATTAGGTCTACTGTATTTTTTTTTTTATTGATGAGAGATCCAGCATCTGTGAAATAATTTTGTGAGAGGTCCTTTTAGGGTTTAGGGTTTAGGGTTTTTTTAAAAAAAAATTATAAAGTATATATAATATATATTTTTCTCATATAAGTATTGCGTAAAATATTTAATAATTTATTTGGGATTTTTTCTAGAGAAAATTGATGATAAATCAAATTTAGAGGGTGTTTAAGGCATTAGGTCTACTGTATTTTTTTTTTTTATTGATGAGAGATCCAGCATCTGTGAAATAATTTTGTGAGAGGTCCTTTTAGGGTTTAGGGTCTTTTTTTTTACTATCTGTTCAAATTATTTTTTATCTGTTCAAATTTTTTATCTATCTATTCAAATTATGTTCTATCTGTTCAATTTTTTTATCTGTAAATTTTCTATCTATCCAAATTTTATCTGTCCAATTTTGTATCTGTTCAATATTTTTATCTATACAAATTTTCTATCCAAATTTTATCTGTATAAATTTTTATATCTAATAATTTTTATCTGTACAAGAACTAATTGTGCGTTGTCACTTTTAGAGGCAAATAAAGAAATGATTTGAGGGAAAAAGCAAATCTAAAACCTATAAGCCATTAAATCCATCTATTGAATTTTTAATTTGTTGAAATTATCCTTTTCAAAAAAATCAATCTGTTAAAATTATTTGTTAAAAAAATTAATCTGTTGTAATTTATCTGCTCATCATCATTATTATCAACAACAACAACAAATTCTATATGTTCAAATCTTTATTTTTTCCTCTCTCCATATTTGTTGCATTTTGTTTCATCACCATCATCAACAAAAAATAAAAAATAAATTAACAAATAGAGATCATCATCGTCGTCATCAACAACAAAAACTACAACAATTATTACAACAACAACAACAACAAAGGAAAAAAATACACAAACGCACACATGGCCTAGTTTTGTGAAGAAAAATGAGAACCTTAGAAGATCGAACTAGAGAAAGATCTGGACACTCATCGATTTTTGTGAAAACCTCAGAGAAAGATTTGTCACTGTCTAGATCTAGTAGAACTTGAACTTGGTCCAGATCTAACATCTTCGACGACGGACTCCGGTGGATTTGACAAATATGGATAGAGAAGAGAAAGTGGTGGTGTTGGCGGCTGAAATGGAGAAAAGAGAAGAGAGAGAAAATAAACGAAGAGAGAGAGAGACGGTATGTATTGGTTAGGGTTTGGAGAAGGCGACAGAGTATGAGATCAACACGGTTAGGAAGGAAAGTGGTGTTACAGGGAAGAGACATATAGAGTGAGATTGAAGAGAGAGAGATGAGAAGAAGAGAGATCGACGGTGAAGGAGATAGAGAGAGAGATTGGTGGAGGAGGTAGATCAACGGAGAGGAGATTGGCGGAGGAGGGAGGCGGTCGCGAGCGATACTGAGAAGGAAGGTAGTTTGAAATGGAACCAATCCAAACCAATCTATTTAAACACGGATTGGATCGGTTTAGGACCACGGATTCACATAATTAAATAATAAAATATATATATATATATATAACACTTTAATTTCATAAAAATATAAACATAGCGCTATATTAGTGCCACAATAGCAACATGTCTTTCTATAATAGCGACATACAATTCTAGAATTTAAATAACCATAAGAAAACTGGTTTCACCATAAGTATTTAGACCATTACAAATTAAAACTAAAAACTAACAAACAAAAAGTAATAAAAGAAGATATTATGTGGGTTTAGGTTTTATATGGAATAAGAGAAGATATTATGGGGGAGGATATATAATAAAAATATAGACTATTTGTATACGGTCCGGATCGGTTCCAATCCGAAACCGTGAGGTTCAATCCGAAACCAATCCGTGAACTACAGATTTTTAATTCTTCAATCCGGAACCGAACCACGGATTCAAAAAACCAATCCAAACCTATCGGACTGGACTGGACTGGACTGGATCGGATTACGGATTTCACAGATTCTTTGCTCAGCCCTAAAGGGTTTGGGACCCAATATATAAGGAAGGACATTTTGGTTATTTAACTTGAACTTGTCTTTTTTAAACAAAATGTTTCAATGCTTGAATCTTTAAACAAATAAAATTAGAATTTAGACTTTTGGACTAAGACTTCGTTTGGGAATAGATTTTTTTAGTAATTTTTTTTACTTTTTTTGTTAAAATATGAGATAAAAAAATTAGTATATTTGAAATAATTTTTTAAATTTTTACGAAAAAATATGTAAAAAATAACGAAAAAAAAAATCTTTCACTTTTTAATTTAAATTATAAATTTTTTAATAATTTTTTTAACTTTTAAACTAAAACAGCTGCATGCCAAGTCCCTCGTTGCTATTATTTTTGACGAATGACTTTTACTATTTTTTGAGGAGAAATGTGAGGGATCTTCTATTTGCGCACACCATTTACTCTCTTTACACACACTTAATGAATTTTTTTTTATTACATTTTTGTCCTAAAATGAAACTACCAACATACCCATTTCTTCTTCAAACAAAACCCTAACCCTCAACCAAAAACATAACCCTAACCCTAACCATCAGTTACCACCATCTTCCATGGCCGCTGCCTCTTTTTTCCTTCATCGCCGCTGTTACCTTTTCCTCCACCACTGCAACTCCCTTTCATCTGTGAACCCATTGCCTTCTCGCCTCTCTTCCCAACCCCGTCGGGCATCGTGGAATCGCCTCATTTTCTACCAGTATCGAAAGAATCGCCTCTATTCGGAAATCAACCATTGAACTAATGAATTTGGTTCGACTATCAACATCCGAACAAAACACATTGATTCGACCATCAACATCCGAAACCCCCTTTCGTCTGCGAGGAGTCGTCGCCTTTCGTTTGCGAGTCGACATTGCCTTCCTTTTCGCGACTCAGAGGAAAGAGAGGTCGCGGTAGTGTCGCCGGTGCTGCGTCGCCGCCGGCAAGGTGGTTACTGGTTAGGGTTAGGATTTGATCGTTGCTTGCTGGTGTGGAAGAAGGTGTGTGGATTAGGAGTGTGTGTATGGGGATATAACTGAAATAAAATTGTGTGTAATGAGTAAATTTTTTTTTTTTTTGGGTGCGTGAATTAAGAAGGATGTCTATGTGTAAATAGAACCTCCCGAAATGTGAAATTTGAAAAGGGCAAGGATCGGGGATGTTTTAACTTTAGACTTCCTCACCTTTCGTTTGCGAGTCGTCATTGCCTTCCTTTTCGCGACTCAGAGGAGAGAGAGGTCGCAGTAGTGTCGCCGGTGCTGCGTCGCCGCCGGCAAGGTGGTTGCTGGTTAGGGTTAGGATTTGATCGTTGTTTGCTGGTGTGGAAGAAGATGAGTGGATTAGGAGTGTGTGTATGGGGATATAACTGAAATAAAATTGTGTGTAATGAGTAAATTTTTTTTTTTTTTGGTACGTGAATTAAGAAGGTTGTGTAAAAAAAGAATCTGTGTAAATAGAACCTCCCGAAATGTGAAATTTGAAAAGGGCAAGGATCGGGGATGTTTTAACTTTAGACTTCCTAAAAATACACAAAAGATGAAGACAATCTGAGAGAGCTCTGAGTGGGGGTGAGCTGACCATGTCCATGGATGAGCAAGAAGACCACGGTGGTCGCCATTCTCGAGCTTCAGCCTCTCGGCGCACTCGTTCCCAGGTAGCTCCCGACTGGTCCTCCCAAGAATCCCTCACCCTTATCACCGAGATCGCCGCCGTCGAACACGACTGTCGCAACACTCTCTTCTCTTTCCAAAAATGGAAGATCATCGTTGAGAATTGCAACTCCTTGGAAGTCTTCCGTACCCTCAACCAGTGTCGCCGTAAATGGGACTCCCTTCTCTCCGATTACAAGAAGATCAAGCTCTGGGAATCGTCCGAGTCCCAGGTCGAATCGTACTGGTCGATTGATTATGAGCGAAGACGCGAATTTGGGTTTCCTGAGGATTTTGATTTCGAGGTGTTTAAAGCCATTGATGATCATTTGAAGGTGGGTGATGGGTCGGATACTGACCCGGATGTTGATCCTGAAGCTGTCGCCGATGGAGTGGCCAAGCCTGGTATGCTTTTTCTCATATCATTCAACTGTGATTTAGGTGTTTGATTGTTTATTTGATTGCTAGCATTGCATGCCCTTTTAATCTTCAAAAATGGGTAGTTTAAATTATCTTTTATTGGATTGAAATCTGAGTAATTTCAATTGTACACTAGCATTGTTGAGCTGAAATAGTATTTGATTTGGCATTGGATGACCATTATAGGTTAGAATTTCAGTCAGATTTTAGTGGTGTTTGTTGTTGCAAAATTTGGGTATGTTTGCTGTCGGCATTGTTTCTTGCAGTTGAAAGTACTTATATCAAGGACTTTGTAATAAGGATTTTCAAGAGAAGATGGACGTTTGGCTTAGGTTTTGAATGTTTATCAATTTATAGTGTTAGAAGAAGAACATTCATTACAAATCAGGTGCTAAAAAGATGTGGTGCGACTAGCCAATGAACAACCTATGAACTAAGGGGAAGGGGTTTTCAGCAGGTTGGTAAATGAATGTGAATAGCAGCAGCCTATTGAATCCCGAAGAAAAATTTATATTGGAGCTCGTTAATAGGAATAGGACGTGGTTTTCCACCAAGAACTGGGATTTTGTTGTCAAATACCGCTTTTATGATAGGGTATGCAATTTATGCTGACTTTACTTTCATTAATGGTATCTCAGTCTAGTTGTTTGTTTCTCCAAACATGACTCTTCATCGTATATGCACGCCATCCTACTTTGATGAGGGACTGCATCGGATTAACTTCTTTACGTCCCATCCGTAAAGTGTATGTATTACAACAACCAATTATCTTATGCCATATCAGCATTTTGGTTTATTATTCATATGACCTGAGAATTAGACAACAACTTCCCTTTTCCTTTTCTGTGGTCCACCAACTCCTCTTCTTCTTTTTCTTTCGCTGCTGGATGTCCATCATGGGAAGATAAAGTCCGGCAAGCAAAATGATTAAGGCTAATCATTATTAGACTATATCACAAAAATAAATGGGATTGGTAACTAATTTATCACCATAATGGGCACAATTAATCCAGTAGAGCCACCAGCAGTGCCCTCAATCTCCACGATCCAACCAAGAACAAAGAGAAAATAGACCAAGAGCAATGGGATGGTTGGCGCTGGTTGATGGTGGGGACTGTGGGAGTGGAAAGGGAAAAGGGAGAAGGCAGTGGTTGTTGGAGTGGATGGGGGAGAGAGGTGGTGTTGGTTGGTGGTAGGAGTGGGCTGGACGCGTAGGTAGCAATAGACGATGGTGTGGGTTGCGGGTAGAATGGTCGGCAATGGGCATTGTTGCTGACGGAGGTGGCAAAGGGAGAGGAGGTAGAGGCGCGAGGGGAAGGGGGAGGGAGGTAATCACATTTGGTATGGTGTATGTAGAATCTCATGTAGCAGTGAAGTATTTAAGATGTAACTAAAGTTAGTTGATGTGTCTTTTATTCATTGGCAGTCCGTAAATCGGTCTTTCACGGAGCGGCCATGAATTAGTTAATCCCAACTCCAAAACTTGGTTTTGGAATCACTAAGAAGTTAAAAATGGCTTAAATTTCACACATAGTCCCTTGGTTCCATCAATATATTCCCAACTGTAAGTTTCTCTAGATACCATTTATTTATTTTAATAGTAAGTTCTCTACAATATGCTTTTTTGCGTGTCTTTGTGCTTGAGACTGTAGGAAGTGCACCAGTGCAAGCCATATCTCAAAACATGAGGTGCTTACATCTGTGTTTTTGTACTTTTGGTACCGTAGATCTGAAGAAGCAAAGGCGCCGAGTGATGCCTCAGAAACGCAGCACAGAGGAAAGGGTGACACCTCAGAAACGTAAGATAAATAAAAAGATAATGCCAGAGCAAGGCAGAGTAGAAAAAAAGGGTAAAGCCTTTGAAACACAGCAAAGATGAGAAGATATTGCTTAAGAACAACATGGAAGAGAAGGAGCAAATGATGGCTGCAAAACTATATGAGAATACGGAATTGATCACTGACTTACTTAAAGGAGTCCTGGGTGAGAGTTCAGACTGTCTCTTGGCTGATCTAAAAAACGTCAAGAATTCGCAGACTGATTTCACTAGGCATCGAGGTGACAGACTTATCACATGCCTTGGGAATCTTGCAGACACACTTGACCAGCTTTGTGATATAGTCCAAGAATGTGGTTAGTTTTCAATAAAGGTAATTACTGTTAATGTTCCATTCTAGTGATAAAGGTAGTGTCGATGCTAATGCTATGGTTTTTGGAATTTTGAGACTCAGATCAATGTAAATGAGTTTAGTTCAAAGCTAGAGGATCATCTGAAGAATTTGAAACTGTTGGATGCATTTGGATTCTTAAAATTGAATCATTCCATCATGATTCTCAACTCAACAAGCCATAGTCCTATTTACTTGGGGTCAGTTAATTGGATACATTTCCTCCAATTGGCTTTATCCACTGTCATATCGTCAGTTAAAAGTTTAAGATAATCATGTATTTTCTTATCCCATTATGTCTTAATCTCTCTTTGAATATCACCATTGTTCTTGTATGTTGGAACTAATGGACTTTTTCTTCAACTCATCAAGCATTTCTTGTAATGCATCTTTCTAAACAAATTAGTCAACCAAACTGTCCCTTCATCACTCGAAACACTTTCAAATTTCAATGGGAATTGCATTTGGTCTACAGTTTTTGCCACTTTCATCATATTAAATATCTATTAAAAGATAAATATGAATCTATATATATTAATGGCGAATCTGGAGAGAGATACGTGAGTTGATTCGGCTGGACAGCCGTTTGCAAGGGATTGAGTTTTCCTCCGTATAAATAGGGAGAGTGGATCAAACCTGTGAAAGAAGGAAGAAAGAAAAAGAAGGAAGAAAAAAAGGAAAGAAAGAAAGAAGGGAGAAAGAGAGGAAATGAAGGAAAAAATGATGGAAGTTAAAAGGGTTTTTGATAGTGGAAAAAAAGCGTAAGATATTAAAGTTAAGGTGAGTTATATTATGCCTTGAGTCACCAAAATGTATTTTACGTATGTTTTAACTTACCAAAATCTGTTTTATACAGGTTATGTTTTTAATAAAAGTTATGTTTTATAAAGATTTCAGCTACGTGATTTTATTTCTGAACCCTATTTGCTTAAAAGAAAACTCATGGATATGTCTGTTTAATATTTTAAGAATATTTGACTATGACCTTATAAACAATTATGTTTTGTAAGTATCACCACAGGAGTCCGACGCCTTAGAGGACTTAAATAACGATTGACCTCTGTTTGGTCACTTTGTGGCTCTCTGATTCATTGACCTCTGTTCTGTGCAGACCAAAGTGTTGTGCAGAGCTAAGTGTTACACTATTGTGGGAGCCACCTCTAGAATCCGTACGAGCCACTTTTTGAATTCGTACCTCTGTTATGTGCGGACCAAAGTACTGTGCGGAACTAAGTGCTACACTATTGTGGGAGCCACCTCTAGAATCCGTACGAGCCACCTCTTGAATCCGTACCTCTGTTCTGACTGTCACTTCTGTGACCTCTGTTCTGTTCTGTACCGTGGTTATGGTCATTTACTTACATAATTTCTGTATTTCAGTTTCTGGCACTTAACTGATTTGTTTACCAAATTACCGTGGTTATGGTTATTTATTTACATAATCTCAGTTTTGCTACTTAAAGGATTATTTGTTCCGACTAAGTTATCTTAAATGTTTTGGCCTAACTAACTATTCATGGTTATTTCGTATCCCTTATACTCTTGGTATGGTATTCCTCACTCTGTCATGTGCTTATAGTTGTTTACTAATTTTCAGGAAATAATACAATTCAGAAATAGCTTTTGGAAAGTCTTAGATGCGGGGCTGCGGAATAGACACACACAGCACTTTTATGATATTTTTTATATGTAAATATCGGCTTTTTTGGTAAATATATTTTGTAATAAAAATAGAAGCTCCAATGATTATTTTGGTGCTCTCATTTAAATATTTCTTCCGCTTACATTTATTGATTTGTTAAAGAATTGGCCGGAGGTAACCTCAGTTACTGGCCATCACGATACTTAACCCTTGAGTACGGGGAGCGGGTCGTGACAACTATAGTATCAAGTTCGACTAAACTTATGTTTCTTGAGTGGTTTTCATTAAATAGCTTTTCAAAATAACTCAAGCACAGTTTCATATTTTCCCTAGTGTACTTGATGTAATTAGGTTTTTATCTTTTTTTTTTCCCTCTTAAGTTTATCTATATCTTTTTTCACCATCATTCATAATTGCTTCCTTAGCCTCTATAATGGCTTTCTTAGCTAAGGTTTTAGCTATTTTATTTATACGTCAAAAAAAAAAAAAAATGGTTATTCTCACATGTGGAGACAGTTTTGTGACAAATTACTTTTTGAACCTCGTCATTCCACCACCAAGTTTTATTTATTTATTTAATTTTTTCACTCTCTTGAATTTACCAGAAGCTTCTTTTGCTGCTATATTTAATTTTATTACAATTGACCATCTCACGCATGTGAAGTAGTTTTCTCATTCAAAATTTATTTTCATTCCTTAATCATAAGGTTCTTAAAGAGTGCTAAATTTTCAAATTTTAAATTCCACCATCTAATTCGTGGGGGTTACTTCTCGGACTCTTCTATCTTTCTCTTACATTTTTTTAAAACATACATTTAACACTATCAACCTAAGTTGTGCAGTGAGATCCTATCCAATTATTACTTTACAATCCCTTACATGTTTCATCATCAACTCTCTTTAAGGGGAGAAAAAAATATATTTAACTAATATTATTGGTTCCATTTTTAAATGCTATCAAGTGTTCGTATCATGTTTTAGAACATGCTTTTGCAATTACAAGTCATACGTCATTGCAAACTTTAAAATCACACTACCCTTGGATTCTGATGTGGGTCATCACTTTGGGGAATGCTCTATTTGGTTTCAACTAAAAATCTCACTTTTAAACTATTTAAGCAAAAAAAACCCAAAAAAACTTCTTGTTTGGGACTTCAAAAAACTAAGGCCTCATTTGGGAACAGACTAATTTAGTAGCTTTTTAACTATTTGACTAAAAAAGTAAGTAAAAAAAACTTATATGTTTGGGATGACTTTTTGACTAATTACGAAAAAATGTACAAAAAGTAGAGAGAAAAGAGAATTTTTGACTTTTTTGTATGAGTTGTTGACTTTTTGACTAAAATAGTAACTTTTTGACTTTTTGACTAAAAATGTAAGTCCCCAAACGGGGCTTAACACGGGAAAAAACTTATAGACCCATTCAACTTTCCCAATTAAAAATAATAATAAAAGAGCCCTCTCATGAATGAATCTCACAATCACAAGAAATTTTTTATTTTTTTTTACCACTAGGCACAAAAATAGTGGGAACTATATTAATAAATAAATGTTAGATCAATGTTTGTGTATCTAGTAATAAGAAAATGCGATATAGCATTTTTCATGGTGTTTCACAATGCAATATCGCAACTAACAACCGAAACTGCCTGCAATTGTCCAACAAATTCCTACATTTATTTAAGAAATAGACCTTGCCAGTTTCAAATGCTTTCAAAATCCAGCATAATATCCTCTCATTAATAAAAAAATAAAATACAAATACAAATAAAGTATTTGTTTCCATTTTCTTTCTTTTTCCATTTTTTTTTTCTTTTTATCGAAGGAAGAGATATACTAAGAAAACAGGATAACTGCATCTACCTAATTGTGTTGCAACAGGACCATGAAATGAAATCATCTACAGATTGATGACATAATATGTAAAAATAATGGTGTATTTGTTTTTACAAATTAGTTAAAAGTTAAAAGTTGAATTCAAAATGCAAGCCACCATGAAGTATTTGTTTTTACAGATACAAGGCACAGAGCTCATTCATCTCTTGAAGCAGGATCCACCCCAGCTGTGGGGCTATCAGCAAAATACTCTTGATGCTTCACATTCACGCCATACTGCTCAATTACAACGAGAAACCTAAAATCAATGTAAAATGGTCGTAATCTAAAAAGAATGAGAGAGTTCTGGAGGCCATCACCGAGAACCAGGACAATATGCCAATTACAGATACTCTAATACAAATACGAAATCAGTTAGCATTTAATTGAAGAAGGTACTAGCAAAAGTCAGCTTTCTCAGCTAAAAAACCCAATTGCTTTCTCAGCATTTATTTTTACTTATCTACACAAAATAAATAAAGAACTGAATAAATAGAGCCTAAAAATATGCTTCTGCTCTCCTAACATAACTCAATTTTCCATGGCTTATGTGCCATTATGTAGCTAGTCTATTCAAATATTGGCATTTAAGGTATTCTCATAATGGTTGAGGCAAGCTGCCTGTGTAGATAAGTCACACCCCTATTAGGCCTTTTCAGTGGTTAGATTACTTTACATATCAAAAACTTAATAACATGGATATATTGGTTATCAAAGAATCATCATCTTAGCACATTTTCCAAAACATGCTTTTCACATATATCCATCTATTGAAATATCATGTTTTACAAGATTCAAATCGAAAAGGTAGAAGTTTGATGTCCAATATTGCCAAAGTTCTATGACTATCGAAATTTGGAGGTTAGAAATTTTTCATCTCAAACTATTAGGAGACATGGGCGCTGTTTGGGAAGAAATTTTTTTGTTTTTTTTGTTTTTTTTTTCACTAAAAGGCAAATTGGTTACAAAATTAAAAAAAAAAAAAACAAATCCAAACAAAATATCACATCAAACCCTATAATCATTTTACTTTTTCTCTCACAAACATCACATCTAACCACAAAAAAACCCAATTATCTTCCCAAACACAAAAAAAAAATTCTCCGATAATATCCTACAACTAAAAAAACCTATAAAAAAACCCACTTCCCAAACACCCACATGATATTGTCATTTTGAGGTTGGCTGGCATAAATTTGACTCTTGATAGCAATACTGCTTGAAGCACTAAAGTGCTTACCTCACGCAGAGCCTTGGAGAGGTCCTCCATTGTCAAGATTAAACGCTTATCCTATTAGAGAGAGAGATCGGATTAAACTAAAGAAAAAAAAAAAGAAAAAAAGCTGGAAATATACAAAAATAAAAAAATGAAAAGTAGAAAAACATTAGTAAAATGTGAGCACCTTTTGCTGCTTATCCCTCTTGTCCTTGACTACAGCTGCCTGCCTTGCCTTGCATTGCCTATATTAAGATGCAGATGGGTAACTTACAATAAACAAATAAATGTATAACAACACTGCACCACCAGTATCTAAATAATGAAAATTCGAAGTGCAAATATGAAAATGTATACGATGAACCTGTAAATAGAACTATTGGTGAATCTCAAATGAAAAGACTTCAGTAATGAAAAAATTATCAGAAGTTAGAAACATACTGAAGAGCATCAGTTGCCACCTCTGCAATAAACTTCTGCGTAGCAACAGCTACCAGTCTGATTCTGTAAAAAATAAAGGAGATAAATGATTTGATATATATATCCATACAAATGTGCAGAAAAATGAAATACAAAATATGCACACAGTTTTTTCACATCAGAGACCATATATGATATAACAACTAGAAAGGAAGCACATAAATGAACTTCTTGAATAAGAATACATAATTTGGACACCAATCAAGACCCTCAATCCCTGCTCTAGGATTCCCTTCCATAGAAAACAATCACGAGTAAATGGCTCTGATGAACTGATTCTCTAAAGATTACTTTTTCAAATTCGAGCTTTCCTTTCTAAGTGCCTCATCAAATTCCCCCCAGATTCAAGACAATCAAGAACCTCAAACCTTTTTTCAATCTCACTTTTCTTGGCCTTTAAATAACCAAAAACCTCTTTATTCCATTCTTTTAACTTTCATTTGACCATTTTCAATTTATTCATGAACTTAAAACCCTTCCACTCTTGAATCCTACAATTCGCCCACCACTCTTTAAAATCCTTTTTGAATGAAAGGGTGATCCAACCACATATTCTCAAAGCACCTCCTGAAAATTGGACCAAGTAAATTAAGCATTCAACAAGGCGGGTCAATCAAATCATACTCCCTTAAAAAAGAATCAAAATCCCTCATACTCCTCCTAGCCCTCCTACCGTTCAGCTTTTGGATAACACTCTAATGACATTGTCCTACTTCACTGTGGGTTTCCTTTGTGAGAAAACTGAGGAAATTAGAAAAAATACTAGCTTTGAATCATCAATTTTTTCATCAACACAAACCCCACACACAAACATCCAGTCAACTGACCTTAACACAACTATTTACCTTTATCGAGTTAGGTTTACTCATTTTTAATCTGATTGTTCACCTACTTCAATTTTGTTGGCAACCAAATAGAGGGCAAACAAATAGAGAGACAAATACGAGGATGACATTTTAGGATGGGTAGAAGCATAGTTGTCAAATCGGGATTTGAATAGTGAATCGAAATGGTATTGTACCGAATCACGAATCGAATTAAATCGTGAATCGTAAAAATTCAGTCACCTTTTAAAATATACCTTTTTTAAATTACATAAAAAATAGATATTAAATATCTAATAAATATGAAATATTTAGACTTAAATCAATGAAAATATTGTTTTAAATGATGATCATGTGGTCTGGGTAAGAAGTTAACATGGGTTCCCATGTTTCCCACTTCACCTTTTCCCTTTTAGATACTATTTCTTATCAATAAAGATAGCAAACAAAGACAAACTTTTAATTTTCAAGCAACAATAACTCAACAACAATATTTTACAAGGTTAAAAAATCAAAATTTTCAATTTTTTTCAAAAATCTTTTTTGATGCCTTAAAAAAAATTATTTTGTAAATGCAAGTATTTAGATGAAATCGAATATGTAAGCCTAGAACATTGTAGAGAGAGAAAATTCATTTTTTGGGGTTAAAGTCTAAGTATTTGAGAGTAAATAGGGAGGGAGAAAGCCAAAAGATGGCATGTAGTAATCTTAAAGACCTTAAAGATGTTTTGTGAATCCTTTCTCAACAATAAAAAACCAAAAAAGAAAGTCAAACATCAATTTTAGCGATTCGAATCGATTCGATTCACAATTCACTAATTCAATTCACCGATTCACCTACGATTCATAGCTATTTGCGATTCACACAACATGTTCGTATCGTTTACCCACTGAATCGAATCGAATTGTATGATTCGAATCGCGAATTGTACGATTTTAATAACAGAGGGTCGAAGTACCTACAATCGAACATCAGGACATTGGAACCCGCTTTTTGCCAAGTAATGCTCCACCAATTGGTCTGGAATCTGAGATCAGAAAACACAGTAGTAAATTTATTATTGAAAACAAAGCACACATAGGTTTTTCATTGAGCTTTTCAAGGATAATTTACAGTGGGGGTGTAGTCCGTCAAGGACGCAAGGAAATCAGAGAGCACAGTATCATCATCGTGCCTGCCATCACTCGATTGCTGATTGTGGTTCATCTTTGCTTGTCCTAACTCTCTCTACCCCTTTGAAGTGCGAGGTAGGCCTTCTTACCAATGTTCTAAAACCCTGATTGTCAAGGAAACCTAAAAAAGGCTGGGTCTTAGAATCAATGGTTCAACCATCCAGTCAATCGAAATTGAACCGTGATTGACTGATGATGTCATAATTATGTCATAAATAAATAAAACTATAGATATTTTCTCCCACATTAAGGCCAAGTTTGGGTAGTTTAAAAAAAGTCAAAAAGTCAAAAAGTTACTCAAAAAGTTAAAAAGTCATTACTATTCACCAAAGTCAACAATTACGGCTGCACAATTTCCAATTCTAATTTTCTCCTACAAACTAATTTTTACAATTTTTTATTACACACTTTTCCATAAAAAGTCAAAAAGTAAACCCAAACATTCATATTTTCAACCTCAACTTTTTAGTCTAAAAAGACAAAAAGTGCACTTATTTAGTCTTCCCAAACTTGGCCTAACTCTGCAAACCAAGCAAGTACCATCTAAAACTTTAATTGGGAAAAAAAACATTTGATATCAAATAAGCCAAGCTCTGTAACACCAAATCAGAGTTCAAATTATTGATTGAGTAGAAATGAAAAAGCTATCTCCATTTCAGAGTGCCACAAAGAAAGGCAACTGAAGATGTATGTATATACATGTAAGGCCCAACCAACGAAAACATATATTTTTTTATTAAAAAAAAAAACATTTTCAACGAAAAATCTCTAGAAACTGTTATATTATTTGTGAATGGAACTCGTAGATGCTTCACAAATTGACACCAATGAATGAAACAATTGTATACAATATTCTGAGATACTCAGTTTGGTTGCTGAGGAAACAAAGAAAAAAGATTAATATTATCAGTGTTCTCTTTCGATTTAGCTTCCGACGGGATGCATAGAGCAAGAGCAGAGTCGGTACCTGAACTTTAGCCGCCGTCGCCGGAGAACAAGATGTCGCACCTGGACTTGAGTGAACAGAGATGAGGGGATCAATCGCGGATGAGAGAGAGAGAGAGAGAGATTGATCTACAGATCGATCGTCAATGGATTTGATTTGAGCCCTAATTTGGAATATGTAGAGGGCTTTTCAACCCCGGCAAATGCTAGGTTTCATGAACAATTTTTATAAAAATTGTCATGAAAATCATCTGTACCGTTAAATCAGGTATATGTCTCATGATTCAATGGTGTAGATGGTTTTCACGACAATTTTCACGAAGATTTAACAGGATTGTATAGTGGAGAAATAACCTATCATCAGTGGATGCTGGGGAATTTTTTTCATTAATATGTTAATTTACTTTTTAAAGCCCCACCTGATTTATAATTTCTCCTTGTATAATTTGTGTCAATTTAGGGAGGGAAAATCACAAATCCAACCACTCTTTAACAAATTGGGGATTTTTTTTGAAAAAATTACAATTTAATGAAATTTTAAAAAATTAATTAATGTTAATGAGAAAAATTATCGCTTTAACCTTTGCAAATATTTTTAAAAACGTACACATGTAATTTTTCAATTTTTTAAACCCGGCTTCAATCCACCAATCCTCAGCCTAATTTAATATTTTAACCATCATGAACCAACAAATTGGATTGGTTAAAAATATAAATGGAAAAGAATACTAATGAATAATAATCATAATTTTGTAATAATTTCAACCAAAAATTATTTATTCTAGATCTCAATCAATACCAAACTCACAAATTAATCAACTTCATGATTTTATTTAAAATTATATTTAGAAATTAATATATAACAGAATCAAATTAGTAAGAAACATGCAATGAACCTGAAGGGCAATGAATGGTGTTACCAGAGTTCAAGACAAAAATTGTGGGAGATCAAATATAAGGTAATTTGGTTATGTATATAAGCAGGATAGATCAACTAATCCACTGCCACTCAAATGATATGACAGTAACATTATATAATTAATAATTAACTTGATAAATTCTTCCTCAAAAAAACACAAAAAGGAAAAAACTTGATAAATTATTTATTTTAAAGTGATAGACTCGTAATGATGTGTACAAATTCAATTTTGAAGGTAATCTCCAAATTCAAATAATAATTTGAGAAAAAAAAAATCATTTTTAGGATAATCTTGCAAAAGTGACAATCCCCAAATTTTGATTATTTCTTTATGCTGTATTTGGTTGAAGGATTTGGAAAAGAATTTGAAAAGAGAAAGAGAAAAAGTAGGCAAAATGTGAATGAAATATACTTACATTTCACATAATTTCACACACTTTTTCCCTTTCTCTTTCCAAATCTCTTCTCAAATACCTCAACCAAACGCGACGTTAAAATCCATTTTATGTGAAAATTATCAAAAAAAGTGAGATTTTCCACTATAATTTGGATAATAAAAAAAGAGTTCAAAATCTCATCCATTTCATCCATAAACAAATCATCCATTCATCCCCAAAAATAAATAAAATAAAACAAAGCTACAAAAAAATTATCCAATCATCTCGTGCCATGTGTGCCCTCATTTACCCAAGATTAGCCAATCATCATTCAGATGTGACCCCATGTATTTTCAAGTACATCCTCTTATACATTCTTCCCAGAAAAACCACAACATGCATGGGGAGACATTTATAAAATGGGTAACAGTGTTAAGTTGACAATGCGGCTTGAATCATCAGTTGGACGAGCGTAAACAAGAAAGAAAAATTAAACCACCAATATAATGCTCTATATATAATCTCCCTCAGCAGCATAATTTCAGACTCCCACCACGCTATCAATTAGTGGTTATAAAATCTTTGCTTTAATAGATGCAATCCCCATGTTTACCGCGACATACTTCTAGCATTTGGCTTCATTACTGCATCAAGAAGTCTATACATCCACCGATCTAACATTCCTGTTAAATATCAATATATTACATTATGAGAACATCAATGGAAAGTGAACCTTATATGATTAGGAAAATTAGAAATGACAGTGAGCAGATTCCTGCCCATAACCTCAAACATTGGCTTCATAAAACTTTTGCAGTAGATGGATTCTCAAAACTTATAGCGATGGCCAAGATAGTTTTTCATAGATGAATTTCTAGGTGAATTTTCATTGACCCTCCGTTTGTTTTTGTTTTTTTTTTCCAATGAAAAACATTTTCTTCAAAAAAAAACTTTTTTCGAGAAAATGTTTTCGAGAGAACATTTTCCTATGTTTGGTTGCATTTTTGAAACTAATAAACTAATGGTTGTATTAGTGGTAGTGGCGGCGGGACAGAGGTGAAGATGGTGGAGTTGTGGTGGTAGTAACAGTAACAGTGATCGAAGTGGTGGAGGTGATGGTGACATTGCTAATATTTTAGTTTGAAAAACGTTTTCTACCTTAAAAGTGGGGAACATTTTCGGCGCAAATAGGCCTTTTTTTTTATTAACCATGGAAAACGTTTTCTATTGACTTTCATTTTCCGTTGTACCAAACACAAGAAAAACGAGAAAAACTTTTAAAAAAATGTTTTTCGCCCAAACAAAACGGAGTGTGAGTTCAAATATGAAGTTGTAAAAAATGCAAAATTCACAGCCACAATGTTTTCTGTTTCCTTTGGTAATTTGTCACTTTAACCAGTTTTACAGTTTTTTTTCTTTTTAGTACAGACCTTTCAAAAAATTAGATTTCAAAATAAATTTAAATGATGAGGCAAATTTTCAGAATTATTACCAAAAAAAAAATTCGATTTTGTTATTAAGTGGATGGTTATCTTTCAATTGAATCATCTCAGGTAGGATGCCTTTTCTAGATCCTCATTCTTCAGTGTGTGCAACCTTTTCCCAAATTCCAAAAAGCAGGGTAAAGAGAATAGTACAAACCTGTTAAGGCAAATGTACCGCCCAATACTGCACAAAGCCGAGTGATGAAGTGGAGAAAGTAAACAGCTGGATAGAATGACAATGGGGTTAGTAATTGGAACACAGATGATAGTAGCAGCAAGGAACAGAAAAAGGATCTGGAAGAGAGAAAGAAGAGTTAGCAGAGAGGGATCAAAATAAATTCCAGTGTCCAAACAAACCTGGCCAAGTCCTATCATATTCGTTCGTAGGAGAATAATATTCCGTGACTGAGAATTGATTAGTTGGTAAAACTTCTTTTGATAAGTATCTGTATTCAATTGGAACAATCTACATGGAAACAAACAAATTTCTCAACAGAGAGCAAGAAAAAGAATGCTAAAACCCTAATGTTGTGTTTGGTTGGGAAATTTGATGAGGGATTTGGAAAAGGAAAGGGAAAAGGTGTGTGAAATTAGGTGAAATATAGGCATGTTTTATTCACATTTCACCTACCTTTTCTATTTTCCTTTCCAAATCCCCCAACCAAACACAGCATAAATATAAACCCAACTATTAAATGAACTATATATATACATAAAGCAGAGTTGTTTCAATAAATTATTGTTCAATAATAGAGAAAATTTGGGTTTCAGCCTGCAACGGCTAACAATTGAGTGCTTTGTATGCTTTATCAGACCAAAGCATCCAATGAGTATTCTACGTACAAGAGTCCTGTTAAGACTATGTTTGGATCTTGGATTTGTCGCGTGAAAAGAAATGGTAAGGGAATGCTTTCATTCATTTTCTTTTCCTATCTTTTCACTCCATGAATCCATGATCCAAACACAACATTTATATGGTCATTACCCACTCTCCGTAAGGGTGTCACATAAATTTGTTCAATAGTGTGTGATACTAGTAAATTCTAATGATCATAAGAAAAATATTTCCAAGATAACATGTGCAAAAATAGCCAGTTTTATTTTTCTTTTAGCTAGTCAACACTGAGGACAACACAATGATCATTTAAGCAAGGGTCCCCTTGAACAGCAAGATCTGGAGCACATATGTGCTGAAAAAATGCACCAGCTATCTTAAAGAAGGTGCATAGAAACACCAGAAGATAAATCAACAATTTTATCAAAGAAAGACCAGGAATCAAACCTTTATGTAATATTTGAACGTTCCACTTGAACCACGCAGAATCCGTTAAGTCTCATCAAGTGGGTTGTGAATTCCAGGATATTTTGGCCCAAATGATAAATCATGAATAATATGGCTCACATTGACATGAATGGGCCCTTCAAAAATCTGTTGGACAAAAAAAAAAAAAAAGAGAGAGAGAGAGAAGAAAAACAAGCAATAGGTAAGTGAACTAAAGTGAATGAAAAAGCAGTTGAAATGGAAGGATACGAATTAACCTCCACACTAGCAGTTGAAGACATTCAAAAGGCTAGCAAACAACACAAAAGATGTCTTGGCTCACTAGATGGAGAGTAATATATAATTATCAGGCCATTTTCTTAAAAATAACTTGAACAATTTAATCTCCTTATAATAACAGAAGTTACCCCTTGTTAACTAATTGGTATGATGTATAAGTCAAAGGGTATATTTGAGTCCCAAGGAAAGTTAATAGCCATTTAACTTTCTGTATTTCATTCCAATTAAGTCAATTATTTTGACTGGAGCCATTATGAAAATGGCACCAATCTCAAAAATGACGTCAAATTATGAATTTTGTCACTTCAAAGAAACCTAAAGATGATCACAACCAGAGGATATGAAGAACATAAATAAATAAAACTATAGATATTTTCTCCCACATTAACTCTGCAAACCAAGCAAGTACCATCTAAAACTTTAATTGGGAAAAAAAACATTTGATATCAAATAAGCCAAGCTCTGTAACACCAAATCAGAGTTCAAATTATTGATTGAGTAGAAATGAAAAAGCTATCTCCATTTCAGAGTGCCACAAAGAAAGGCAACTGAAGATGTATGTATATACATGTAAGGCCCAACCAACGAAAACATATATTTTTTTATTAAAAAAAAAAACATTTTCAACGAAAAATCTCTAGAAACTGTTATATTATTTGTGAATGGAACTCGTAGATGCTTCACAAATTGACACCAATAAACGAAACAATTGTATACAATATTCTAAGATACTCAGTTTGGTTGCTGAGGAAACAAAGAAAAAAGATTAATATTATCAGTGTTCTCTTTCGATTTAGCTTCCGACGGGATGCATAGAGCAAGAGCAGAGTCGGTACCTGAACTTTAGCCGCCGTCGCCGGAGAACAAGATGTCGCACCTGGACTTGAGTGAACAGAGATGAGGGGATCAATCGCGGATGAGAGAGAGAGAGAGAGAGATTGATCTACAGATCGATCGTCAATGGATTTGATTTGAGCCCTAATTTGGAATATGTAGAGGGCTTTTCAACCCCGGCAAATGCTAGGTTTCATGAACAATTTTTATAAAAATTGTCATGAAAATCATCTGTACCGTTAAATCAGGTATATGTCTCATGATTCAATGGTGTAGATGGTTTTCACGACAATTTTCACGAAGATTTAACAGGATTGTATAGTGGAGAAATAACCTATCATCAGTGGATGCTGGGGAATTTTTTTCATTAATATGTTAATTTACTTTTTAAAGCCCCACCTGATTTATAATTTCTCCTTGTATAATTTGTGTCAATTTAGGGAGGGAAAATCACAAATCCAACCACTCTTTAACAAATTGGGGATTTTTTTAGAGAAAATTACAATTTAGTGAAATTTTAAAAAATTAATTAATGTTAATGAAAAAAAATTATCACTTTAATGTTTGTAAATATTTTAAAAAACATACACGTGTAATTTTTTCAATTTTTTAAACCCGGCTTCAATCCACCAATCCTCAGCCTAATTCAATATTTTAACCATCGTGAACCAACAAATTGGATTGGTTAAAAATATAAATGGAAAAGAATACTAATAAATATATAATCATAATTTTGTAATAATTTCAACAAAAATCTATTTATTCTAGATCTCAATCAATACCAAACTCACAAATTAATCAACTTCATGATTTTATTTAAAATTATATTTAGAAATTAATATATAACAGAATCAAATTAGTAAGAAACATGCAATGAACCGGAAGGGCAATGAATGGTGTTACTAGAGTTCAAGACAAAAATTGTGGGAGATCAAATATAAGGTAATTTGGTTATGTATATAAGCAGGATAGATCAACTAATCCACTGCCACTCAAATGATATGACAGTAACATTATATAATTAATAATTAACTTGATAAATTCTTCCTCAAAAAAACACAAAAAGGAAAAAACTTGATAAATTATTGATTTTAAAGTGATAGACTCGTAATGATGTGTACAAATTCAATTTTGAAGGTAATCTCCAAATTCAAGTAATAATTTGAGAAAAAAAAAATCATTTTTAGGATAATCTTGCAATAGTGACAATCCCCAAATTTTGATTCTTCTTTATACGGTTGAAAGATTTAGAAAAGAATTTGAAAAGAGAAAAAGTAGATAAAATGTTAATGAAATATACTTACATTTCACATAGTTTTACATACTTTTTTCCTTTCTCTTTTCAAATTCCTTCTCAAACACCCCAACCAAACGCGACGTTAAAATCCATTTTATGTGACAATTATCAAAAAAAGTGAGATTTTCCACTATAATTTGGATAATAAAAAAAGAGTTCCAAAATCTCATCCACTTCATCCATAAACAAATCATCCATTCATCCCCAAAAATAAATAAAATAAAACAAAGCTACAAAAAAATTATCCAATCATCTCGTGCCATGTGTGCCCTCATTTACCCAAGATTAGCCAATCATCATTCAGATGTGACCCCATGTATTTTCAAGTACATCCTCTTATACATTCTTCCCAGAAAAACCACAACATGCATGGGGAGACATTTATAAAATGGGTAACAGTGTTAAGATGACAATGCGGCTTGAATCATCAGTTGGACGAGCGTAAACAAGAAAGAAAAATTAAACCACCAATATAATGCTCTATATATAATCTCCCTCAGCAGCATAATTTCAGACTCCCACCACGCTATCAATTAGTGGTTATATAATCTTTGCTTTAATAGATGCAATCCCCATGTTTACCGCGACATACTTCTAGCATTTGGCTTCATTACTGCATCAAGAAGTCTATACATCCACCGATCTAACATTCCTGTTAAATATCAATATATTACATTATGAGAACATCAATGGAAAGTGAACCTTATATGATTAGGAAAATTAGAAATGACAGTCTCAAACATTGGCTTCATAAAACTTTTGCAGTAGATGGATTCTTAAAACTTATAGCGATGGCCAAGATAGTTTTTCATAGATGAATTTCTAGGTGAATTTTCATTGACCCTCCGTTTGTTTTTTATTTTTTTTTTTTCCAATGAAAAACATTTTCTTCAAAAAAAAACTTTTTTCGAGAAAATGTTTTCGGGAGAACATTTTCCTATGTTTGGTTGCATTTTTGAAACTAATAAACTAATCGTTGTATTAGTGGTAGTGGCGGCGGGGCAGAGGTGAAGATGGTGGAGTTGTGGTGGTAGTGACAGTAACAGTGATCGAAGTGGTGGAGGGGATGGTGGCATTGCTAATATTTTAGTTTGAAAAACGTTTTCTACCTTAAAAGTGGGGAACATTTTCGGCGCAAATAGGCCTTTTCTTTTATTAACCATGGAAAACGTTTTCTATTGACTTTCATTTTCCGTTGTACCAAACACAAGAAAAACGAGAAAAACTTTTAAAAAAATGTTTTTCGCCCAAACAAAACGGAGTGTGAGTTCAAATATGAAGTTGTAAAAAATGCAAAATTCACAGCCACAATGTTTTCTGTTTCCTTTGGTAATTTGTCACTTTAACCAGCTTTACAGTTTTTTTTCTTTTTAGTACAGACCTTTCAAAAAATTAGATTTCAAAATAAATTTAAATGATGAGGCAAATTTTCAGAATTATTACAAAAAAAAAAAAAATCGATTTTGTTATTAAGTGGATGGTTATCTTTCAATTGAATCATCTCAGGTAGGATACCTTTTCTAGATCCTCATTCTTCAGTGTGTTGCAACCTTTTCCCAAATTCCAAAAAGCAGGGTAAAGAGAATAGTACAAACCTGTTAAGGCAAATGTACCGCCCAATACTGCACAAAGCCGAGTGATGAAGTGGAGAAAACTGCGACGTTCCTCTCTGATGGTTACAGTAATTGGTGACAGATCATACAGAAAGTAAACAGCTGGATAGAATAACAATGGGGTTAGTAATTGGTGTTGGACAATCTTCACTGTATTTAAATAGATTAAATTCTGTTGTGTACAAAACAACAACAAGAATAAAAGAAATAGATAAAAGGAGAGAATTTGTTTGATTACAAAAATCAAACTCGAAATAAAAATAAATAAATAAAAACAGATTTATTTTGTTACAAAAACAAAATTAAAAGGCGAGAGAGTCCACAATGAAAGACTGGAAACCCGTGCGAAGTAGGTACCCATTTATCCTTCTAGTTAACAACCGGTAAAGTGGTAGTGTTTAGGTGGTGCCAAGGTTTTAAAAAGCGGCTGCAACCGTTACGTAACGATTTTGGTGGTTACCGCCACTCGTTACGGCTGCTTTTGCAGTGTGATTGAGATTCATAGGTGTATCGGCCGTAGCGGCTGCTATAGCGGTCGTAATGGTGCAGTAACAGCTTGTTACGCACTGTTACGTAACAGTTCAAATGATGTCAAATTATGAATTTTGTCACTTCAAGGAAACCTAAAGATGATCACAACCAGAGGATATGAAGAACTCCTGTTTTTTGCATGCCTCCATGTTTCAATGATAAATTCCACTGTAAAAGCCACAGAAATTCCAAAAAAAATGAACAAATGAAATGAGGCATCAAAATGAACCCTAAGTTTTTTTTTTTCTCTTTTTCATATCTCATCAAAAGCTTGAACTTCCAAAAGTAACAAAATGAGAATAACGCCTCATAGACTCCAATTTTAGAGGACCAACACTAGGACATGACTTCTCTTCTGTGTTACAGGAATTCCCCATATACATCAGAATAAAGCATTTATATAAGCATGGAAGTTAGGTTCACACAGCATCTCAAAATTTAGTAAATTGAAGTGGACCAATATTTTATTACCGAAAGCTTAAGTTCAGGCTGAGTACCTTTTATGAAGACAGAAGACCAATTTGCTGTTATTTTAAATAGAGGGGGTAGCTAAACTATACTAAATTAGAAGTATTTTGTACTTCTCCAAGTATTTGTCTAAATAATATTAATGCTGTGTTTGGTTGGGGGATTTGGGGAGGGATTTGGAAAGGAAAAGGGAAAAGGTGCGTGAAACTAGGTGAAATATAGGCATGTTTTATTCACATTTCACCTACCTTTTCCATTTCCCTTTCCAAATCTCTCCCCAAATCCCCCAACCAAACACAGCATAAGAGAATCAACTTCTCACTCTTTTTCTTCTCCTCCCACTTCTTCCACTTTTTTTTATTTGTTTTTATTAATTTTACCAAGCAACCAATGGTTTAATCAGGAATCACATTATTCACATATTTATAGATACTGATGACTTGTTACATGAAATTACATTACAAGAAAATAACCTTTAAAAAACAGGAAAAAAAAGAAAAACTGGCCATTTGTGCAACAAAAATGTTCAACCCATGAACTGAGATATGGAAGTTCCCAGCAACTCTTTGGACATCCAAGACCCCATAAACCTGCAAGAATGGTTAAGCTTATTAATTCTATCATGACCTCGAGCATGTTCACATCCAAATTGGGACCAAAACATACCCCACATCCTTCTCCATTAGCCAATGCTTGCTTGACCTTCTTAATCATTGTTTCAGCATCTTGATCAAAGCCATGTAGGTGATTTTTCTGATCTGAATCCTCATGATTATCTTTATCGCCATCTGATCAATGATATTTGTGAGAACCACTTAATTAATAACAAAGAAGCTTGGGAAAAGTACTTTATGAACCACTTAATTAATAACAAACAAGCCTTTAGTGACTAAATTTTTTGGTCGGAAATTTAGTAGTTGAAGAGTAGTCGGGCAAGCTAATTTGCTACTAAACTTAATTTAGTCGCCAAATGTATACATTTGCCGACTAAATATTTAGTCGCCAATAGATTGGAGAATTAATTAAATAATACATTTTTGCCGACCAATTTTTTTGTCATCAAAAGCCAATGATTTAGTCGCAGAAAAAATTTTAGCTACTAAATTATTTTGTAGTTTGATTCCTTTGCAATCATTTATGTATCAATGCTTTTTTGGGGAAAATTTGGAGATGCATAGGGGACTAAATTGTTGAATTTGTACCCCAATTAATAGGTGTTCATATGTATATCCATTTCTTAAAATAATTTATTATTTGATTAATTTTTGAACCCTATGTGTATGATTCTTGGTGATTTTGCACATTGCTATTCAATTAGAGGTCAACCTGTCAAGTGGGTTTCATAATATGTGACATATGTGCTTGTTTTGTGGTTGATATCTTCTTCTTTGCCCAGAAGGTTTTATTTTTGTTTCTCATAAAGAATTACTTATAATGTGATTATTTCATTACTAAAAAATGTGTAGGTTTTTTGCCAATATTTTTGCACTTCATACAAACTTCACATGTTGAGTTGTCTCTTGTGAGCCTCTAAAGTTGAGTTGTTAGGTATTTTCCCAAAGTCTTGGCCACAGGTCTGCTAGGTGGTGAGCATCACATGTACACCTTTTGAAAAATGCTCACCATGTTTATGTGCTGATATCCTTGAAACATATCAGTAAAATATATATATATATATAGAGAGAGAGAGAGAGAGAGAGAGAAAATACCTACAAATAATGAGGGAAATGCATCACAATGTTGGATGGATATGAAAACTACAAATAATGAGGGAAAGTGCGTTGTTCAATCATTAGAATTAGGGTGACCAGCAATCTTGGTTATACTTATGTGTAGAGAAGCTTTAAGAATTGCTATATTAGGAAATGCTTTACAATGTTTTAATAAAACTAAAGAAATAATTAGAAAATTTTGATATCAGTTAAAATTTGACTTGGTTTGAATTGATTAAAAATTTATGTTAAACCAAAATCCTAAAACCTGAGTTGAGAATCTGATATTACACCACTTAATGTTCCAATGTAGTTTTCCAGGGACAGTCAACATACACCCAAGGGCTGTTTTGAATTTTCACTCCCGAAATGTTTTTTTTGGACTAAGTTTTGGGCGTATTCGGCTTTAACTCCCAAACTACCGGTCCGAATTACATTCCGTCAGTTGTCACAAGTCCTATTTGGCATGGGGAAGCTGCCCGTGACAGCCACACGGTAGTTTGGGGGCTGTTTCGAATTTCCGTCCCCAAAACACCCTTTTTGGACTAAGTTTTGAGTGTATTCAACTCTAACTCCCAACCTACAGGTCCGAATTACATTCCATCAGCTATCACAAGTGCTATTTGTCATGGGGAAGCTTTCCGTGAGAGCCACATGGTAGTTCGGGGGCTGTTTTGAATTTTCTCTCCTGAAAACCCTATTTTGACTAAGTTTAGGCCGTATTCGGCTATAACTATGGTAAAGCCATAAACATTCCTAACAAGGCTGATTGAGTGCCAAATGAGAAGTTAATGCATGTAAAATCTGATTCAGAAATTCTGAAAGAAAATTTTCATTCTCCAGGTTAAGGGAGCTCCTAATTGTCCGATTTATTTTATATTTTATATGAATGATATACATGATGAATCCTATAATATAAACAATTTCGATCATTAAAATAAAATGGATACAAATCTCAACAGGCCATCACAGCAGGTGCTGTGACAACACCCTCCCTTGTGCCCACTAAACCTTTTAACATTTCTTTCATGGAAGTCCAGCAGAGTATGCTTCTTTTCTTTTCTTTTTTCTTTTTTTTTTAAAGTGCTATGAAAATGTAGTTTTATTTTTATCTGCAGGAAAATGACACCTAAGACCAAGAAATAACTCTGGACCAAGAAAAAACAACAATCACAATCTGCCACCAGTAGAAGCCTCATAACAGCAACACACACCAGCAGCACCTCTACCTTATAGACAATATCTGTCACTATGCTGCTACTGCTACTGCACCTCTACCCAAGTCATCTTCTCATCCCAAGTCTGACCCAGCCATCCACCTTATAAAAATAATCTAACCTTAGACACATTCCTTTACCACACAACACCATCAGCACAGAATATAGCAGCAACCAATCTTTTCTGGCAAACCAAAGATGATGATCAACACTATTTTCTTAGAAATCCAAATGAAAAGGTCTAGGGACAAAAGCATAAATTGAAGTTCTAATCAATCAGAAGGTTTCTTAGAAGGCTAATATATGATTTGGGTTGTTCATTTATTATTTATCATTTTGTTAAAACAAGGACTCTGACTTTTGCTATGGAATGCTTGCTTACTGTGCTTTACCATATAGATTTTGATGTTATATTAGAAAGATTACGGGCTTGTTTGGTTTGTTTTTGGGAGAGTTGTTTTTGAAAAAAAAATTGGGGAGAGAGTTTAGAAATTTTGTTGGTTTGTTTGGTTGTATATTTTGGGAGAGTTGTTTTTTTGGGAGTTTGGGATGATTTGATATTTTGGGAGAATTTGAGTAGATGTGTGTGAGAGAAAAAGTAATTGAGAATGAGAGAGGAGAGAGAAAAAGTGATTGATTGATGTGTAAGAGAGAGAGAGTGATTTTGGAAATTTTTTGAGAAAAACTCAAACCAAACAATTTTTTAGAATTTTTTTT